TGATTTTTCAGGCCATTGTCCCGAATTGTCGTACGTTTTATGCTTCGCAAAGATTCAATCAGTTTAATTTTGGCCATTACAAGAAGTGGGTTAATGATTGAGACAAATGCTCATGTACCCTTTACAGCTCATTTTATGTATGTTATTATCAAAGATGAAAAAAGCCAGTCGGTCACTCAATAGTGTCAGTGAAGTCTAGAAAGTAAACAGGTTTCCTTGTATAATTTGAATATTAGGACACTGCTAGTGTTTAAATGTCACAGATAGGACATACATGACATATTTATAGTTCCTGCAAAGTTCTACAGAATTTTATGTTGGCTGCAAAAAGGACATAGTATCTTTAAAGTCTCATAATCGTGTACAGAATAATATTCAAACATGTTTGATACAAAAACTCGCCCATTCGAGCCTTCAGAGGTTGTTTTATTAACTATTTAATATGGTACATTCCGTATCATGGGGGGGGGGGGGGGATTGGTCAAGAATTGATTTTTGTTATGGGGGCTTCAGTTTTTATTGTTTTAGTAGCACACGAGGCTTAAAGCGAACCGCAAACATTGTCATTGATGTAGGTAGAGTAACATTTTTGAATGAAATATTAGCCTACTAACATGCACAAAATCGTGAACAAATTCTCAAACCACAAAGATATTTATGGTTTCTTTGTATGTGTAACTCCAGCTAACAGTAAATTATCCCAAACGTTATTTCATGAAAATAAGACGGGCTTTTTTAAATGTCTACACTTAAATGTTTGAATGGTTTATAGAGCTAATTCATTGATTTTTGACGATTAACATTCACCTGAAGTTTAATTGAATACGGTTGGGAGAATTAAGGAATCGATCGGATCAGTCCCCCCCCCCCCCGAATTGTTATCATTAATGATGGTCTGTTTTCACTCACCCTTTCAGATTATCTTTAATAGTATATTTAGCATTGAAGTCACTACATGTACCTCAGCACCATTTCCCCTCATCTGAACAATGTCACCATGAAAGTCCCTTTAAAATATGTTTATGGATACTCCAAATTGCAGCCACTAAAGCAAAACAGATATAGAATACCGAACTTCACCCTTAATATTTTCAGGAGGAGAAAATGAGAAAATTGTAAAAACTACATGAGATGAGACACAAGTTGAGAAGGTGATTATTTTTTATGAATATTCTAGTTCATTACACATCGTTGCAGAGTGGTAATTACTGGTGTGTGGCAATTATGTAAAGCGTTTATTCACGTTGGATTTATCGAAAGTCAACGTGAGGTACTATATTTACGGACAATACCCTTTAATGAGCTAGATGAAAATAGATTTAATGTCTTAAAGCTTAATAATCCGAAAAGAAACTTAAAATGATTGCCGCCCCCGTAACACAAAATCTTTCACTCTCTATATTATTTGTATGTAATATATTTTGGTTTCCTTTCATTGCAGTCATTCATAACATATCACAATCATTCTGATATTTTTTCCCCTTTTCCTGGCTTTCGTAGCTGTCTCCATATTCATATATATTTGTGTTGTTGTATTCAATTGTAAATGTTTCTCTTTAACTTGTACGCTATGTTTTGTATTTTATATGTTTGTTATGATGTTTTTATGATGTATGAAATAAAGATCGATTCAATCCAATATACCCGTTTACCTAGAAAGATAACGAACACCTCGCTTCGAAACTATAGTGGCAGAACCAGGGGTGAGTACAAGGGCAAAGTGCTCCCGCTCCCCCCCCCCCCAAAAAAAAAAAGGAAGAAGAATAATGCCACGCCCCTACATCGAGTCCTTTGCTTTAAGAATGATTATAATTGTGTTGCAATTTCGTTTTGCTTATATCAAACGTAACCTCATATTCGATATTCTTCTCTATTCAAACCGCAGAAAGCTGATGCTTTGCTGCTTTTGAAACACTTCTAAAAATTAACTTGGGAGGGGGAATTGGGAACTCGGGCACACGATGTAGAATGAAGCTGTCGAAGTCTGTTTATTGTCGTTGCATATAGGCCTACTCATGTACGTTCGAACCACTCGAAAGTGAGCTATTTTCCCATCAATTATTGCGAGTTAGTTATTATTAACTACTTAGTTCAATAAATGTTTTCGTACATTCCCTTATTAATTATTGATATACATTTTTGCATCTATAAGTTATAGGGGGCTGCAATCTACAAGCCTAGCTTTTCAGCAGTCCCCTTCATGACTAACCTGTTGTATATGCCTGTTGTATACACTGTGGACCAATTGCAATTATATCATATAATTGTGAAGTTTCATTGTTTTACTATGTATGTACAATGCAATCTCATGTATTTTATTCTATTTTGTTGGAAATGGAAATAAATGAATAAATCATTGAGTACTATTCTATATGAATACAATTATTGTGGATTTATCAATCTGCACAACAATCTTTCACTAATTTGAAATAGAATTAGAAAAAGCACTTTACATCCAATAAGTCTTCTTTCACGTTAGTTAAATTATGCTTGCCTCTAACCAAAGTATTTAAGCAGCACTACTCTTTAAGACTTTGATGGAAAACGGATTTGTACAGGCGACTTTGCTTTTCAGAACTTTCAAGAACGTTGGCATATTTCCTAGGTTTCCTCATGATAGGCACATGCACTTTACATAAATCGATTATTAACTTCTCATTACATGTGAATGGAAATAAATGAACAATATATTCATGAATATGATAGCCGTAGGGTTACATAGCGGCATACATCTTAACATTATTCATGTAAAATAATCCTTTCAATGTATCACTATAGAAGACTAAATACCGTGAAATCATCATATTTCTGCCTTATCACGTTAATGGATGCAAAATATTTGATCTTCTATTCACAATTTACATTCCACAAACAATGCATAGCGTGCGTCAATAGCAGCGTCATAAGAAGGGAAAGTTGCGGTAATCTACAGATGAAATGCGAGAGAGAAAAGGGTTATATATGAATAATGATAGGGCGTGGAAGGGTGTTGTATCACATTCCTTTTACATTGCCTGTACAACATGTGCCACCTCCCATTTCCTTCTCATTTTCTCTTTTATTAATATATTGAGTTATATTTTATTATTGTCCTTCAACTGACGGGGTAAGGTACCTGTATCGGTATTTATGACACTGTCCACATCCTTTCAAAATCTCTCGTCCACCTAGCCGTGTGCATGGTAATGGGTGATCTAACGTTTCCTCAAGCATCATTCGCTTCCAGGTTTGTGTACCTTTTTTAACGCATATTGGCTACCAAAACTTGAATTTAGCAAGTGAAGCAATTCTATGCTCTCTGTATGACAACCCCAAATAAACAGAGATTTCAGACAAGTGAATAAGGAATCTGAAAACGATCAAACAGAGTTTAAACAAAACAAAAACTTTAGGCAATGTCAATCTCCTTTTCGATCACTCAGATTTCTAATGCTTCGTTTACTTTCATTATATAGTTTAATGTTATATATATATGTAATATAGTATAGTAACAAAATTCTTGCCAAAGCCAGGAAATTAGACTCGACTAGCACTTGTGCTAACTTCTGGTACCCCATTAACAACAAAAGTGTACACATAGATTTCCTTTCGTTTGTATATAAAATACTTTGTAAAACAATGTTTATCTTGTGTATGTGTAATTGTATTTATCTTGTGTTATATTGTTATATCTTGTGTATGTGTAATTGTATTTATCTTGTGTTATATTGTTATATCTTCTGTAATCATTATTGATACATTATGTTTTACTTGTTGTGATTATTGTTGTTAATTAAACTCAAAACTCAAACTCAAACTCAAACTCAATGATGATGCCCCCACACAACTAACATGATGTACTTCTATAAACAATAATAAAAGAGAAAAAAAACTTTCTTGTCTGATTAAAAAGAACCGACTACCGTATGAGCCTTTAAGATTGAGATACATTGGCTCCGTGATTACCAAAACATAGGCAGATACCAGTGGGAAGTCAACATCATCATCATCACTTTTGAAGAAAGCTTTCATTTTATAGCAAGCATATCTAACGAGTTACCAATGTATACAATACATTCAACCAATTTGCACCATACTTCATTCTCTCAACCACAACCCCCTTCTCTCTCTCTCTCTCTCTCTCTCTCTCTCTCTTTCTCTCTCTCTCTCTCTCTCTCTCTCTTGCTCTACATCTCCTATCTCACTCTCTCTCTCTCTATGGCTCGCTCTACATCTCCTCTCTTTCTCTTATTCTCTTTCTTTTTCTTTCAGACACTTTTGCACTACTTCTTTCAATCTTTAGCAATACATACACAAAGACAGATGCAATGTAAATCTAAAAATAAAAATCCAATGCTTCTTATTATGTTATCAACTTTTTTTGTTTTAATATGTGTATATATATATATATTTCAGTTTTGATTAACAAAGTCTTTGGATATCAACATGATACAGATTATAAGAAAATAATGCAATCAATACTTCATACTTATCACACAGGTATTCATCAGTATCAATTACTTAAATTGATATCTTCACAATATAATTTTGGGAAGTTGAAATAGAATCTTGCTTGTGCATGAAGTAAAATAAAAAATGTATGTGATATTTTCAATTCTGTGCCCTTCTACACTGTCGGCAGTGAAAAAAGAAATAGATGAAATATATATATATATCAACAGAAAGTTTGATAAGCCATAGATTACAATAATATCACTTGTACGTTATTTTAGTGTCTGTCAGAAGAGTAATAGCTATCTGAAAAACTTGAAACCTAAAGCTTTAACAATTCAGAACTTTTTTGACCTGAAAACTTGACTTTGCAATGATTAAGCACAGCTTATCGCCTGAGCTTTATAGTCCACTCCAAATGTTATTAAACCGAAACGGAAATTCTTTTTGCCCAATTGATCGTGAGCCCGGCAGCCACTGAGCAGCGCCAGATCGACGTTGCTCTATCCCTTATTGTTGAACGCCAAACAAGGTAGCAACAACTCCCATCTTTTAACGTCTTTTGGTATGATGCGGCCGGGTTTCGAACCCACGACCTCCCGGTTGTGAGGCGGACGCTCTACTGACTGAGCCAACACTCCAGTATAGGCAAGTTGATCGGGTCCACACATTATGTTGTCACCGAAACTGCAGCAAATATGACCCCTGTTGACCGGAATTTCGGAGGGGTGCATAAAATGAGTTTGGTGCATAAAATGAGTTTTTAAGTTGCTTTTGTATTCTACGTTCATACAGCTTTCCATTGATATAAAATTGTATTTTCACAAGATACAGGACATACAGTGAACATGAAATGCTGTCCCGGTGCTCAAGCTTCTGCATACCCATTCAAGAGATAAAACTACTCAAATATGATACAACACTCCTTCAAGTGCATGTATCCTAACTTTGTTGATACAATTTGATTGATGGTGTATTAAACACACATTCTCCATAGACGCCAGCTGAATTACAGTGTACCTCGGTTTTTGGTTTTCAATGGGCCAAGATTGCATGATCGGGCTTGCTCCACATCAAATTCATATATCCTGAGTTTAACAAAACCAACATCTTACCACGGCTGTTCCTAGTTAACTTGACTATTTCATAATGGAAGACAACATAATTTCTTTAAAATACATTTATTTCTATATTTTTAAAATTTATGCATCAGCCAATACTGGATGTGATTTGCTTCTTGAATGAAATCTATATACAGTCAAACCTGTCTATAGCAACCGCCCAAGGGAAACAGAAAAAGTGGTCTTTGTAGACAGGTTCCTTTAGTACACGCTTCAATGAGGAGCCATTTTCAAAGGAAACAAAAAAATGTGGTCTTTGTAGACAGGTGGTCACTAAAGCAGGTTTGACTGTACTTCCTTTAAGCACACAAAGAGTTTGTATGATATCATAGGTATCAAGCAATAGGATTGTTCACACACAGCCATCGAACATCTTTCATACATACAGCCAAGCCAAGTCTGATGTGTCCTCTCAACGTGAACGTGCTATTTGCACTAATGGTTGGTGTGATAGGTGATGAGCGTGAAACATTCCTTTTTCATATCTTATTAAAAATATATATATAACAGCATGAATATGCTCCACACCTGTTCTTGCATGTACAAGGTATTGCAGTGTAAAAACGCTGAAACACCTTAATATTTAGTGTGAACATTCTTCATACTATATGGACGAACAGTCCAATTATCTATCACTCTCTTAGCACTAACGTGATAGGTTGTGGAAATGATACGTTCTGGTCGGCATCAACGTGGAGTAAACATCATATTCTTAAATGTAGAGTCAAGCGTGAACATGCTCTTCTGAGGCACATCCAACTATCATCTCTTCGCACTAACGGTGGGCATGATAGGGGATGAGCACGAGACATCCTGTTCACACGCTCTCTGCGACTCGCGTTCACACACACAGCCGCATCCGGTGGGACACATCTTTTCCAGTTTGAACCAGTCTAGCATGTGTTGTGTGTGACCTCCATGGCCGCAAAACAAACAGAAGATTGAGGCACCTAGGAATGGGAAAAAGAGAACATAAAAAAACAGGTTTTCAATTTTTAAAGTAAAACATGAAGGTACATGTAGATGAAGATTGATCAGACATAAAAGCCCAACTTAACCTAGGAGGTTTCTTAAAGGTGAAATTCAAAGAAAATCACAAATATGTCAACTAATGTATCACTAGAAACTGGTAAGCTAACAGATGGACATCGTACAAGTTTTAGGTCAACTACATATCGGGTGATTTATAAAAATACAAAAACAACCACCTCCATAGCAGCTGGGATATACGAGAGAATCGCCAGAAAAATAACGATGTTTTAATGACATCACAATATGGACCAATACTGCCCAAGCAGACGACATCCCATAAAGAATGAACATAATTGCAAAGCTATTATTTGTCAATTTAAAAAAAAAAATGTTATTGTATATAAATGTAATGGCATGTCAAACGATTCAAAAAGGGATATGGCCGATTCTGATAACTAAAATCTCTTGCTTGTAAATACACAGGATAGGGGTTAATTAACAATCAAAGAAAACAGACTTTCAAATTGAAAACCCCCCGGAATGATATTAAGGACGGCATTTGTTCCCTCTTGGAACGCCGAATATACCGCGGTATGTGCAGCTGAATATACAATGGTGTCTTATTTTGTTTACAAGCGACAGATTCCTTTATTTTTGTATCACTGCATTTGTCATCAAAATAAAACCATGCGCGGGGTTTAGAGTGAGGCAATAGATTATACATTTAGCCTGGCGGTAGTGAAGTAAGTGAAAGGACTCAAGAAAAGACGAAAACACAGGCACTGAAAATGTGTGAGATGTCATGGGACATCGTCCGCTTGTGCAAATCATGTCCATACTGTGATCTCACACATCTCAGCAGCGTGCGGAGAGCTCTTCAGGTGCTATGCCGGGGCTGTATCTAAGCGTTTTGTAATTTATAATAATCATTACTTTGAATGTTTTCAAGCATTAAATTTTGATAACCTTGTTGAATCAAAGTTTCAACTTTGCAATAATGAAAATAATGTTAGTTTTTAAAATCAATGAATATCTACTTTAAGTTAGGGTTTAAACCTTTAAACAAGCATTGTACATGTGTCATGTGTCCTCGTGTACAGTGAAAGTGATTTTGTTTTAATCCACAAACCACCATCAGATCTCATGGCCCTGCCCTTTTCTTCAGTGAATCAGTGGTTGCCTCATTAACCTTTATAAAACAAGAATATCAAAAACATTTAAGAAATCCTAGAACTGACGCATTACAGGCTACTTTATGGCTTCATTAATTGAAGATAAAATGAAATCTCAAGATTTTGTTGCTCCTGAATCTTCTTTTAATCAACGGGGAAACCCCCTATGATCCCATAACCTTGCCCTTTCTCAAGTGAATCCAGTGTTGTCGCATTGGCCTTTATGAAACTTTTACCTTATGAAACAAGAATTTTAAAAGCATTTAAGAACTGACGCATTACAGGCTACTTTATGGCTTCGTTTATTGAAGATAAAGGTTAAGACTGGATAAAAGGCTTGTTATCAAATGTTTTCCCTCTCCAGTACTCAACCTTCACTTTCACAAGGAGTGTCTGGCATAGAAAGTCGAGAGTTCGAGCAACTTCCAAAATCACGTACATCTTGACTTTTTTTGACAAAAATATGTAATTGAAACGTTTTAAAAAGAAATAAAGAGAAGAAATGTAAAAAGAAAAACTGTGAATGGAAATGGAAATGGATAAGGCTCCTTTTGTGATATTTCATATTGTGATTTACACAAATCCCAAAATCAACTTTGATTTTGAATAGCTTGAGTATCTTAATGATATGTAATTTTATATTTTTAAAAGAGTCTTGAAATTACAGGTTATGTTGTGATGGAATAAAAGTTGCAAATTATTCAAACGGGACTGTGGATCCCAAGGTCCGCGGTTTAAGTCCCGCCGCGGCACTAATGTCCTTTGGCAAGACATTGATCTACATTTGCCACTCTCCACCCAGGTGTTAAAATGGGTACCCGGTAGGATGCGAAAGTTAATGTGGTTGGATTAGCAAATGGCGCTTGTAAAATGGCGACTGGCTGGAATACTCCCCAGGGAGTGAAAAATATGCATACATTGTGTTGCGGGTAAGCCTGAATCCAATGACCGGGGTAATAATATGTTCCGCGCCTAGAAACAAAGTATTAGGCGCATTATAAATGTGAGCTATTATTATTATTATTATTATAATTTGATAATCATGCACGTACAGTTAACAACTAAATTATTCATACCTTTACTAAGTTTTGTCATTTTTTGAGTACCGGTATGTGAAAAATTAATTTGTCCCCATTTACGTTTCGTGAGAATTTGACACATTAAAGAATAAATCTAAAACTCTAAAAGTATGCAACGAAGGCTCTAATTCAACCAATCCAACTCTCATTCTTGAGTTACGAAAAATACAACAACAAAAACGTCAAATTTACAATGGAAATGAATATTTCAGTTGTCAACTATGTTGTATATTTCTCGTGGCGTAATGTGTGCTTGAAAATACATGTAGATAGCCTTTTTGTCACATATTTGTGACACTGGCCCAGCAGGAGTTCGTTAGCCCTTCATTTGAAGAAGGTGAAGCCGTACGATAATTCTGACAGTATTTTCATGGATTTTCATGACGAAGGAACGCATCAATGGGGTCAACCAGTCAAGAAACTTTATAGGCATTCATGATCAAAGTTGCTAAATCAGTTCAAAACCAGGTCAATTACTACCAACTTGCTGTATAACAAGTTATACTCTTCAGATATATATTCTCATTGTATACTTCTTAGGCAACCGTGAGTTTTAGAAATGAGATAATAACAGGAAAAAAGTTCTCACCAAGTTAAATCATCATTAAACATACATATGAATTTTACCTTCCAAACAATTCAGGAAAAAATACACAATAGCTGAGTAACAAGCAAGAAAGATACAGAAATCAGATGAGTGGTCCCAACTGTTTATATCACCTATTATCCGTTTCTATAAATGAGATTTAATATAGGTTTTAGTTAGTTTGTACAATATATATATTTTCTAGTCCAAACAATTCATCTACTTGTGATAAACAATGCAAAGTTACTTTGAGCCTGAGTTACTTTGAACCTGTTTCTTCTGAACTGCGAGTCCCTGACCAGGGGGTGTTTCACAAAGATCCTAAGTTGAACTTATCTCTAAGTTGGACTTAACAATTATGGAAAGCTGTTAGCATCTTCGAAAATAATTTGTAAAAGTTATTTTAAAAGGTACAAAATGTCGATTCAAATCATTCATATTTTTGCTTTTAAATATATTTTATTTTATGGCTACAAATGGCTCTCCATAATGTTTAAGTCCAACTTAGAGTTAAGTTCGACTTGGGATCTTTGTGAAACACCCCACAGAACTCTGACTTAGATTTTTTCGTTTTTTGTAAACAGAATAAACTTAATGACCTTCAAGCTAAATAAATACCAAAAAAAATCACAAAACATGTTGACTCTGAGCTTGGCAACGATATGTTAACCTTCTATATTTCTATGATCCCAGAAACCCTACAACCAACATCATACAACATTGCCCTTTTGCTTCAATGACATTCTATTTGTTTCACTGATCTTCTGCCTCCTTTTTTATGTTAAAGATGAAGTTGAGTTCTGGTCATGCGATTGCATTGTGAAAGAAACGGTGTGGAATCGACCAGAAAAGATTTATCATCTAGCATATAAAAATTTGTGTGTATTGCAAGGTTCTGGAATCATCAAAATGATAAGAAATTGGCCAAGTCTTGATAAAGTTACAAACACTGTACACAAAAAGATGTATATGGGACTACACGAACACGTGGCGTAAAAAACCTACCCCCCCCCCCCCCCCCCGAGTTTTACGATGTACATGACATATTTAGAATATGAAGGCATTTGAAGAGCCATGCTTTTCAGGGAACATGTCTTATCTGATGTTCTTCCACACTTGCATAATAAGAATGATAACGCTCACAAATTATTTTTCACCTCTTCCCAGAACTCAACCTTCTCTTTAAGGTCACAACTCATTTTTATTTTTCACCGTCAAAGTATCAGTATTACAGAGGTGTTGTGGTACGATGGATAAGGCTCTGGACTGTGAACCACAAGGTACAGGGTTCAAATCTCTGCTGCAGCACTATTAAATGGCCTTTGGAAAGACAGTAATCTAAATCTACATTTGCCACACTCGACCACGGTGTAGTAGTTGGCTTCCTGGCACGATGTACTCCTTTAATTATTCCTTGAGTACAGTGCAGGACTGAGCGCTATACTGTTGCCGGAGCTAAAGTTGGGGTAGTGATATGCTACGTCCTTTGGAAGCTCAAAGAGATGTTATATCATAATGTCATATGCGCTATACAATCCTCCTCCTCCTCCTCCTCTTCCTCCTCCTCCTCCTCCTCCTCCTCCTCCTCCTCCTCCTCCTCCTCCTCCTCCTCCTCCTCCTCCTCCTCCTCCTCCTCCTCCTCCTCCTCCTCCTCCTCCTCCTCCTCCTCCTCCTCCTCCTCCTCCTCCTCCTCCTCCTCCTCCTCCTCCTCCTCCTCCTCCTCCTCCTCCTCCTCCTCCTCCTCCTCCTCCTCCTCCTCCTCCTCCTCCTCCTCCTCCTCCTCTTCTTCTTCTTCTTAGAGATTTAAAATTAGACAAAAATGAACCCATGCACTGTGGATCCTCCCATCAATACTTCAGATTCATGAATAGTCAAGTCCAAGGTATTTTGTCCCGTACATTACGAACAACATCTTCAATTTAATATATCCGATGACTGATATAGTTTGAAAGCCCAGCTTGGACATGGATCAGCCCATATATACCTTACAGGGTACATTAACAGGACATCTATATTTAACCCTAAATGGTACACTAACAGGACATACGTTCTAAAAACAATATAACTAATTAAACTAATGAATAAACCTATTGTTTCTTGAGAGGCCTATAAGTTTCCTCTGCTTGCAAACGTACGTAGAGGGCAGTAATTCTATTGTTCAAACGCTAACAGGACATAAAAATGTCCTGTTAATGACCATGTCTACTTAATGACTCATTTTTTAACTACATATGTCCTAACGACGCTGTAGGGATTTATATTGTCGCTGTTTTCACGAAGTGATGGTAGTGAGGAAAATCGTAACGCAAAGTATATGCAATTTTTTTTCACTACCGTCACTACGTGAATACAGCGACGATATGTCATGTAATACCATTGGTGTAAATATATGTAACACATTGTCTTCAGTCCTAACATAATTTTCTTACTCCAAGCACGTTCTTCAGAGTCCAAACACTGTTCTCAGTCCAAGCACAATCTTGACAGTCTAAACACTTTCATCTTCCAGTAACACATTGTATAGTTCTTGAGTGGGATTATACTCACCTCTTACGGCCACATGGCAGATGGAGCACTCAAAGGCATACTTCTTACACTCCTTGCACTGAACCGACATGGACCTCTTCTTACATCTACGACACACGATACCAAAGTCTGAGAAATCTGAAAGGAAAGAGTGAGCAAAATATATTAAAAGAGCGTTCTAGATCAAAGTCTGGAAAACCTGCAAGGAAACAATCTTCCAAAAAGAATGCTGATTAAACAGAGAGACTACTTTCAGAGACACAATATAAAGTGGCCTGACACGTGGGGGGGGGGGGGGGGTACATGTAGTCACCCAGGGGGGGGGGGGGGTCACTATTTCCAGGTGGTCACTAGAGTAGATTTGAATGAGAAAGACGATCCAGAGGACAGAAGGAAAGCAGTCTTCAGTGACATGTGGTATTCATCAACAAAATGCTGTTCAGGCAAAATGAGAAAGATACAGGACTGCTTAATGAAAAAGATTTCACACAGGTAAATTTTATGTAAATGGCATGGAAAAGATCTAAAAAAGACCCATCATATACCTTCTTGCTAATTTTTAAAAATAAACTAAAATAAACTAAAAAGTCAACAAAACATAGCTGAGAGAGCGCCTGGATCGCTCTGGGTACGACATATATCAAAAGAGGTCTGCTCTAGCATCAACATGTAGAATAATCTACATGCACTTGTAGAGGACGCCCATTGGATAGGATTTAAAGTTATAGGTCCCCTACTATCACATAGTCCTACATGTACTTGGGTCAACATGAAATGAAACATTGACAGATGATCCAACCTAGCTGAGAGCGCCTGGATCGCTCAGGATATGACATGTATTTGAGGAGTTCTGCTCTGGCGTCTAGGAGATTCCACTTGTACAGGATGTCGGCATACTTCTTCTTGAACTTGTCCAGTTGGTGTCTCTGTGAAGGATCGATCAGCCTATAGAATGGACAACAAAATAAGCAGAATGGACATTCACTATTAAAAAGATCAAGGTGTTTTTAGCTGTGCTATTGATATAGCTACTACTGCAAGTGTTAAAGCCCCACTGTACTACTTGTAGCTACTTGCTCCCTCTATATAGAAAACAATGCCTAAGCGGTGCCCGTTAGTCCCCATGATCCTCTTTTTGTATGTTAATTGAGAGCTGAGTTGATGAGATAACCACCTGTCAGTGACCATGCTGGGTGGTCTAATCCCTCTTGGCCAAACTAGTACAGTCAGGATTTATTACTAAGGCTAGTTCTGAAATTAAGGCTAGTTCTGAAATTGATGCTACCAATGCTAGTGCTAATACTACCGCTGTTTGTACTACTGCTGCTGATATCACTACATGTACTACTAATTCATCTACTACTTCTCTATCCAATACAACTAATACTGCTAGACTTAAAGTTCTCCTGTTACTGCTTTCGCTACTGCTACTACTACTGTGAGCACTAGTGCTAGAACTTCTATTGCTGCGATTGGGATTACTACTACTACTACTACTGCTACTACTACTACAATAACTACTACTACTACTACTACTACTACTACTACTACTGCTACTACTGCTGCTGCTGCTACTACTACTATACTACTACTACTACCACTACTACTACTACTACTACTGCTAACGCCGCTGGTGCTACTGCTGCTATACTGCTAATGCTGCTACTACTACAACAACTACTACTACTCCTACTACCACTACTACAACAACAACTACTACAACTACTACTTTGCTACTACTACTACTTCTACTATACTGCTACTGCTAATGCTGCTACTACTGCTGCTACTACTACTACTACTACAACAAATACTACTACTACTATACTGCTACTGCTACTGCTACTGCTAACACTGCTACTACTATCATTTGTAAATGGCCCCTCACTGCATATTGGCTCTGTGGATGTCCTTTTCCATCTCTTCTGGATTTCTGGCTTGGCCAAACTTGTAGTCGTCAGGTGATTCGGGAAGACTCGAATGACCGTAGCCGTCGATTATCCAGTCTGGGCTGAACATGGAGTCAGAATCAGGGGACACAAAAAACTGCAAAACAAAGAGAACAGGTAAAATGAGTCAAAGAGAAGGTTAAGTTCAACTTTATCTTCAAAATAAGGGGGAAACAAGAACAAGAAGGAGGAGAAGGAGTGAAGGGACAAGGAGGAGAAAGTTGAAAAGGAGGAGGAGGTAAAGGACAAGGAGGGGAAAGTCGTGGAGGAGGGGAAGAGAACAAGAATAAGGAGGAACAGAAGGAGGACAAGTGAAAGGACATGTAAGAGAATGTGGAGGAGCAGGGGAGAGAACAACAACAACAACAACAACGACGAGGAGGAGAAGTGGTGGAGGAGGAGGAGGAGAAGGAGTGAAAGTCCAGGGGGAGAAATATAAGAAGGACAAGGACAAGAAGAAGATAGAGGAGGAGGACGGGAGGAGAACAAGAACAAGAACAAAATTATAAACAAGATCAAGAAGAAATACAAGAAAGGAGAAGTTTTGGTCTTTCAAGACAAACGTATGCATAGGTTGTGAAGAAATAATGCTACACTGACCCACCCTCTGAATGGAAGGACTATTCATGGCATCACCCCTGGGTCTGGTGTTCTCACCAAACACACAAGACAGCATGGCTAACGTCTGGACATCATGGATAGAGCTGTAGTGGTCCATTCTGAATTGAAGAAAAGAAAGGGCAGTGGAGTTAAACACCAAATATGTTTAAAATAGTGAAATTTGATACAGAGACGCTATTCTAAACTAAAAATCATAGATAAAATCGGTAAAACCCTGAAAAGTAAAGGTATAGTACAGTTAAATCATGAATGAAAACAACAATTGACTTCATAAAACTTGATGGCTTTCAACATACCTGTGATTAAATTTCTCTTTAATATTCAGGTTAACATTGAGCCATTGTCTTCCTCTGTCCAGCATTTTTAATTGCTAAATATGATAATAGAATTAAATTTGGAGACTATTTGAATACAATATCAGCAATGAACAAAGAGAAAGAGAGTGTGAGAGAGAGAGACAGAGAGAGAAAGAGAGTGAGAAAGAGAGTGAGAAAGAGAGAGAAAGAGAGTGAGAAAGAGAGAGAGAGAGAGAGAGAATGAGATAAGAATGATAAATACAGAGCAAGTGAACAGGAAAGAGATGGAGACAGAGAAAGATAGTGTTGACTTACAGAGACTTGAGTAATTGTCTTCCCATAGGATGTTTTGCCCAGGGTCTTTCATGATCAGGGGAGGAATATGGACTCAACTTAGGACTGCTGGCAAGGGAGGCCAGAGACCATACCTGGACAAAGAAACACAAGAAACAAGATACATGGAGGTCAATGAGCTCTTGGTCTCTCATGAAAAAGTAGAATAATCAAATTAAGAGTGCTAGCAAAGGGACCTGGGACCATACCTGTACAAAGAAACACAATGAACAAGATACATGTAGGCAATGAAACACATGATAGGAGTGCAAAATCAACTTAAGAATGATGGCAAAGAAAGCAAAATATTATATATATATATATATACACAAAGAAACACAAGGATCAATGTTATGATGTTTAGTGAAGGGCCTTTTATGATCAGGGTAGAGGTATGGATCCAACAACTTAGGACTGCTATTAAGGTAGGCCAGAGACCATACCTGTACAAAGCAAATCATAGAACAATGCATATTCTGATCTTGATCTGAACATTATCATCTCAAAATTGGAAAAAGAATTTATATAACTCAATTACAAGGTAAACCAAATGTCTTTGATAATCACAAAAATGGCCACTTCAGTCATCTCACCTGCAATAGATCTTTCCTTCCTACAGCTGCTGCAGCATTAGCATTGAGAGAACACATCCTAGGCACGTCATCAGGAATCAACCTGAGAAAACAAGAGAGAGAGAGAGACAAGGAGATACAGAGAATGAAAGAGAGAGAAAGATTGAGAGTGAAAGAGAGAGAGAGAACTTAATAATGTCTTTATGGTGGTGCATTGTGTGGAAAGTCTAAGAGTAGCCACTCGAGCATACAAATGGTAAAACAAATATTTGGCTTTTTCATTTTGTGTATTTCAGATATTTTAAAGAAACACTTCAATGGATTCATCAGCAACATTGTTGACTTGATGGTTGTATTTTTGGAATTGAGTGTGATCAACATAACCACTGTCATCACTTTGAATATTAAAGAACTCGATTGATAAGACAAATTACTGATGTGATCTCAAGCACCATCAACATAACCATCAACATCTTCATTTTCAAAGTCATCATCATCATCATCGTCAGCAGCAATATCATCATCATCATCCCTATCAACATCACCATCATCATCATCAACATCTCCATTTTCATAACCATCATCATCATCAAAATCATCATCACCACCATCACCATCATCATCACAATCTTTATTTTCATAACCATCATCATCATCATCATCAAAATCATCATCATCATCATCACCATCGTCATCACCATCATCATTACCACCATCACCATCATCATCAACATCTTCATTTTCATAACCATCATCATCATCAAAATCGTCATCATTTTAACCCTGCATGGCTTACACGTAAGTTTCCGCTAATTTCTGGTGGATGGGCAGGAGACAGGATGTATCGAAGACGAACACCGTACCACATGCCTGCGATGTGGAGGTCGATATCTGAGTCACATCAGAGTTTTTCCTGCGATGCTTACCTCCTCTTCTGTGTTTCTGTTGAAGGTAGGTGAATACGCATGTCGTAAGTATACAATATACAATTTTATGCAGGTTTCACCTATTCTTAAACCTGATGGATCCTTAGTGATTCTAATAATAATACTATTCAGTTCTTGTATAGCGCATAATACGTTATGAAATAACATCTCTATGTGCTTCCAAAGACCTTTGGAAATGATTACCCTAGCTTTAGCTCTGGCAGCCGTACCGGTATTCAGTGCACAGTGCATTTCAAGGAATAATCCTACTAGGTACACATTTACCTCACCTGGGTTGAGTGTGGCAAATGTAGATTAATGTCTTGCCAAAGGACATTAGTGTCGCTGCGAGACTCAAACCGCCGACCTTTAGATCCACAGTCCGGTGATATCCACTCGACCACGACACCTCTGATAATCAGACTTTATAAAAATGTTCTTCTTAGGAGCCCGATCTTGTACAAGCTTTGCATTTTATTGGGGCTCCTCATATATGCCATTGTTTTTTTTTAGTGTCTGTCATATCTTCATTTCTCTTGAGACACCTCGCTTTTTACCGTACATTTAAGTTATCTACTCGTTTGTGTTACTCAACAGTTTGTATGAATCTGGACCCTGTATCATAAAGGGTTGCAATTAATTGTAACTTATTTGTAATTGATATCAATCGCAACTACATACATACATGTAAGAGATAGGAGACCGTAAACTTGGGATTGATTAGAGGACTTGTGATTGATTTGTATCAATTGCAACTTTTCATAACTATTACTACTATTGAGATACATTTATTCATAACGGGTGAATGAAGTAATTTGCATAAAAGGTGCTTCAAGAAGGAAAATGCATACATTTTGTTACATTACGAAAAGTAGACTACTGAAAGGAACATCAAAATACCCAAAGTCCTTTGGAGACGTTATATCATGCGATATGCGCTTTACAATATCGGCATATTATTTATTATCATCCATTCAAGACAAAAGGGTTCCATTAAGAGTTAACACTTACATTTTCTCTTTCTTTGTAGAACCTAGCGATTGATAAGCCTTCTTGGTTCTCTTTCCTAGTGCTTTGGATGTTCTGCTGCCCTCGGTGCTGACTCAGTGCCGACAGCGCCCTAGGAAAAGAAATGGAAGAATGAATTAAACTATTTAACTGGAATGACTGAATGCATTGTTTCAACTGTAGGGCCTCCATGGAAAAAAGTATTGAACTACTGATGGAGCCACCCTACTAAAACAAGACTAATAAATAAATAAATGAAAAAATAAACTGAATAGCAACGTTTATTGCACTACACTGGCTTCCTGTGAAACAAAGAATTCAATATAAATTTTTTTTTCGTTATTGTGGAAGGCAATGCAACGGATCTGCCCCCTGTTGTACACTTCAGACATGCTTTAATCCCCTATAATCCTCGAGCAAATTTGCAATCATCAGGTAAATATCTGCTTGAGAGTTTTTTAAATTCATGTATATTTCCAACAAAACATTACAAATCAATTATAAACATTTACAACAAATTTAGAAGTACATATTGGAAACAAAGGGGTTCACTAAAAAGCAATGCTTGTACACGAGTCCTCAAAAACGTTCTCTGCTTGGTGATAGATGATGGATTGTTTTTGCACGGGATGTGGAACAGTCTTCCTCAGTATCCTCACTCTTGTGACCTGGGGGGGGGGGGGGGGTGTTTCATAAAGCGGTGCGTAAAGTTACGCATGACTTTACGAATGACTTGAATATGAAGAGCTAAATGGGATTCTCAAATATTTTAGATTGCATAAGATTAAGTTGAAATATGCAGATGTAGAATAACCTTATCATTATTAACAAAACATTTTAATGCAAAGTGTATTTTCGGCTACAATTTAATTGAGATTATGGGAAATACAGTCCCACTTTGTTAAAATGTCAGGAAAAACTTTGGGCGTCCCCAAATATGGCTCAAATTCTATCGTATAAAGTCAGAATCTAAGTTTTCTCACCCTTTTTTCCATACATATATGTTGTAAGAATTAGTTTATAGCTTTTCTTTAGAAGTAGGATCATTGAATCACCGACTGATACATGTTATTAAATAATTCAATATATATTTCAGTTTTGCAGATGTTCTTTTAAAGAAAAGTAAACATTAAAGCGTAGCTATTCGACTTACTTCAGAATTGGAAACATTTGGTTGTCAAATTCGATTCTATATGTCAGAATCTATATTTCTCACACTTTTTGCCATACAATGTGATATATATATTGTATATGGGTTTATAGGTTTTCCTTAGAAGTTGAATAATTGACTCACCGACTGATCCATTTTATTAAATAATTCAATTTATATTTCAGTTTTAAAGAAAAGTAAACATTAAAGAGTAGCTATTTGACATACTTTGGAGTTGCCTGGAAGATAGTACTTGATTTCTTCATACTGTTGGGTCTGGTGAACATTACTAGTTTGTCTGAATGAAAAGAAAAAAATATAATAGGATGGTAGGAATACAGCATTATTCATATCGAGGGTTTAGTGACGCAAAGACGTAACTCCATATTTTGCCAAAATGAGTATTTGATATAAAAATGTTCAGAAAAATGTGGGCTTTCCAGGAAACACATAGACTTAACTCCACCCAACACCCCCATTGAAGTCAATGGCAAGTGAAACATAGACTTAACTCCTTAAGGCCCAAGTGCTCAGTGACACATAAGCCACTTATTCTCAAAATGGAGTTACGTCTTTGTGTCACTGACCCCTCGATATGTTCTTCATTGTTGAAGGATGAGCAGATTCTTCATGTCACAAAATATAATAAATAATCCCTTATTCTTCTCTTTCTCTCTCGGTTCATCTGTCTCTCAATCTCATAGTGAATGGGTTAAAAACTCTTTGTGTGAGGTTGCTTGAGCTAAAGCCAGGGTACTATAACAATTGCCAAAGCTCTTTTGAAGCGTGTAGGTACATTATATCATAATGTGATACGTACTGTACTAGAATGGAGAAATTACCGGGTAGAAATAAAGATCAAGGCACAAAAAGACACATCAAAATATTTCTCATTGATGTTAATGACTTATAAGTTTCTTATTTGACAGTTCTGAATATTAACCCTAATCGAGGTAGTATATATGCATTTACCATCTCCATATCCTAACAATATGGTTCTACCTCTATGTGGGAAAAAAAAAATCATAATACAGTGAAACCTGTCTATAAAGACCACCGAAGGGGACAAGAAAAGTGGTCTTTATAGGCAGGTGGTGGTCTTTATGTACGGGTTCATTTAGTACATGTTTCAATGAGAAACTAATTTCAAGGGAAACAAAAAAAGGGGTCTTTGTAGACAGGTTGTCTTTCTATACAGGTGGTCACTAAAGCAGGTTTGACTGTATAGGCATTTACCATCTCCATATCTAAACATTACGGTTCTATTTCTATGTGGCAAAATTATAATATTATGCACTTTGTATTCCGGACGCCTCTTTGCGTGCCACTACATTTTTGCTGTACAAACATTACCTGTGCTACAGAATCTAGCCCCTGAGGTTCGAGGGAAGGGTATGTTCTTATCCGAAGCAGTTCCGTAGCTTGAAGTGACCTGACCCCCAGATGACCCCTTGGTAGATGACCCATTCATTGCACTTGGAGAGTTCAGCTGAAAAGAAAATGAATCAGGAAAGCTTAAACCTAGACTAAAGTAACTGCAATTATAACGGGGTGTTGTGGCGTGCGCCTGTAATCCAGCTAAAAATGGAAGTTACAAACTGAATCAGCCGAGGAAGAAGGTTCGAAACTGAGTCACGTCTTTCGGATGGTGACGTTTAAAGGTTGGTCCCCAGACGTAAATAATCATATATGATTGATACACGTCTGTAAAAACCCAATTACACATATACTCATATAATCATGGAGCTTTACAGTCGGTAAAATCTCTTGATGATGAGAAAATCTAGGCTTCCTTTCATGAAACAATTATCTTTTTACAATGTTTAATCACAACATTTAAAGTTAATGTGCATCATTCAACTTGAATTTATAACCATCCTTAAATGTCTTCCTATAACCTGGGGGTGTTTCATAAAGCTGTGTGTAAAGTTACCAATGACTCTACAATTGATTTGAATATGAATAGCCAAATGGGATGCCCAAAGTTTTTCCTGACATTTTAACAAAGAGTGACTGTATTTCCCATAATCTCAATTAAATGGTAGCCAAAAATACACTTTGCATTAAAATATTTTGTTAATAATGATAAGGTAAATCTACATCTGCATATTTCAACTTTAGCTTTTGCGATTAAAAGGATTTGAGAATCCTATTTAGCTCTTCATATTCAAGTTATTTGTAAAGTCATGCATAACTTTACGCACAGCTTTATGACACACCCCCCAAGTTACATATGTACGTATGTCTAGGTTTTGAATGAAATGGAAGAGCATTAGTACATCAGACAAAACTGCGAAATGCAACAATGATAGGAAAATACCCAACACAGGCAATGAATAACAAATGATTGTATGTCACAATAATTGACAGAAGAAAGTATGAAGTTGTAAAGCAGTGCCTAATTTTAGTAGACTTATCTTGCCTGGAGTGAGCCAGTAGACCTACAGTTAACATCTAAACTATTTATACCCTTTGTAAACGTGATTCTTTTTTTGTTTGTGATTTCATAACTCAAGAATGTAAGGTGGACTGGTGGCATTGATGTCTTTATTCAATACTTTTAGATGTAGGATTTAATATGTCACATTCTCAAAGAACATAAATTGGGACAATCAATTTGTCAAAATACTTAAAAAATTACAAAACTTGGTAAGGGTATGAATAATTTAGTTTTTAACTATATATATGCAATGTATCTATAAGTATTTAATGCCCTTCTGGCTCTGAGCTGACAATATTCCGAGGGTTCAGTGACACAAAGACGTGACTCCGTATTTTGTCAAAATGAGTATCTGATATCAAAATTTTCAGAAAAATGTTGGCTTTCCAGGAAATACAAAGTCTTAACTCCACCCAACACCCCATTGAAGTCAATGGCTAGTGAAACATAGACTTAACTCCGAGTGCTCAGTGACACATAAAGCACTTTTTCTAAAAATGGCCAAAATGGACTTGTGTCTTTGTGTCACTGACCCCTCGATTCGTTCAATTCTTTCTCACCTGCAATCCCTCCAGGATGGTGATGAGTTGATTAAAGCAGGTTGATATACAGAACCTCTCTAACTCCACTTGCTGCATACAGGAATGGTTTAATACCTTCAGAAAATAAAAATGAAATACATTTGATTTCCTGGAAGGTGGTTTGAATTTAAATGCTTGAATAATTAACTATTCATCCCTCTTCCTCAGGGGATCGATGGTGCATGAAAAATCCAAAGATTAGTATGGACATTTGAAGGATACAGACTCAGTCATCACAGAGACTGCCCTATTCTGCATTATGAATTGTGTTAATGTTGAATTGTGTTAATGTTGAATGCTCCCTGAATCCGATGACCATGGTAATAATATGTGCTGGGCCTAGAAACAAAGTATTATGCGCATAAAATGTGAGCTATTATTATTATTGTTAATGTAGGATACTGACTGGACAGCAATTGTTGTTAGAGCATGTATCGTATGCCGGGCACATCAACTCTCCCGTGTGGCTATATTAAATCTTCATGAAGTTTATGGACAAACTATAACAAATAAAATTGATCTGATTTACCTACACATCATTATTCTTTTCTTGGCCTGGAGCTTCCTAACGAATAAATATAACATTTTTTGCACTGTAGTCAAATAAACGACCTTTCAATCAATTAATAAAACAACAAAACCAAAAACAAACAAACAAAATTCTAGTAACTCTAGTAATTTGAGTCTGGTCCAATTGTCCAGGATTGTGGGGAGGGGGGGGGGGGGGGGTGGCATGAAAGTCAGCTTAGAGTTCACTTTGAATGGCGGGGAACAAATTGCCATAACCTTAGTGATGCCCATGTAAAGTGGTACAATATTACCCCAGCTCAAGCTAGGCTAACGATTTTGGTGCTCACAGCATTCCAGGAGTTCCTGTCTATTGGTACCCTTCCAACACCTGGGTGAAGAGTGGCAAATTTAGATAAATGTCTCGTCAAAGGATACTAGTGCTATGCTGGGGCTTGAACCCACAGCCTTTGCATCTCCAGTCAATTTTTTTTAACCCACTCGACTACGAAACCTCTACTGATATACCTGACTTCTTAAAAGGGATTGGGTATCTTTGTCTCAGATTCTGAAACAATATCCTGGATTTAGCCCATGCTGCAATGATAATTATAAACCTTTAGGTCAGTCAGGAACCCCATGATTTTTACAAGCCGATCGCCTGTCTGTTTATCAAGATATTTATGATTGGAATCAAAATTGTATTTTTTGTTTTCCTAACGGTTTTTATAACACTTTCAGTCTATTGGGGGAAAATGAGTATGGTAAAACCGGTCACACAAAGATTTTTGATTTTTTAAATTTTTTTTTAACCCTAACTTCATGATCATTTTGAAGCACAATTTTTGTTAGGGCTTCAATATTTCACCATATCACAGACATTGATAATACGTACAGTAGGGCTATGCATCTCAGGTTTAGCATTGTTAAATGATGCCTTTGATAGCACAAAGGTAATATAAACAATGAATCAACCAAGCAATAAAATACTCTACCTCTAGTACTTTCATCCTTGTCTGGTTATCCAGAGTCGTAGGGGATATAATGGCCAGCTTGGGGCTCACTTTGACCGGGTACTGAGGGGGGAAGGTCATCTTCATCCGAATGGTGTGACGATTACTGGATGCAGATATCTGGCAACTTCGGCTCCCAAGGTCCTAGGTAAAGAGAGAAATTGACCAAAAAGACTTTGGTGATGGCCATCCTGAGCCCAAACAACAACAAACGTATTCACGAATTAGTGTGATGATGACTGGATGCGGATCTCTGGTAACTTCGGCTCCCGAGATCCTAGATAAAGAGAGGAATTAATAACAAATCTTTGGTTATGGCCATCTGGAGCCCCAACAACAACAAACATATTCACGAATCAGTGTGATGATGACTGGATGCAGATCTCTGGTAACTTCGGCTCCCGAGATCCTAGGTAAAGAGAGAAATTGACAAAAAATCTTTGGTGGTGGCCATTCGGAGCCCCAACAACAAACAACGTATTCACAAATATTCTAAAAAAGGATAAACAATTCACGAATATTCTAAAAAAGGATGAACAATTTTGATCAAAGGGAGGATCCTTGGCCAACAGAATCCACAAGATTTGATAAACCATTTTATACAAAGGAAAAACGAGATAGAGCTGAGAAAGTGCGGTGAAGAAAGGGGAAGGAGACAGAGAAAAAGTAGAGATAAAGGGAGGGGGTAGCCGAGTAAGTGGGGATCAAAGAAAGAAAACAAAGAGAGGGGAAAGAGAAGAAGGAAGTCAGATGACTTACAGGTTCAATGGTAGTCTGTGGGGTGATGCGTGCCAGGGACTTGAACTCCTGCTCCAGAGATGTGATGGATTCATCCAGATCACTGAGCGACCGGTTCTGGTCTCCGACCCCTCCTCCGCCCATGAGGTCGTTGCTCCCCCCCATGAGCTGCCTGGCGGGCGAGGCCGAGGATGCCATGCTCAAGGAGGAACCAGACTTTGGAGGAGAGGCAAGGATTTCTATCTCGCTGGAGCCACTCAGGTTCAGGTCCTGGACTTCAACACCGCACAGCTGCAGGGCGAGAAATTAATGTGACTCAGTGATACCAGTTAGAATTGATCAGAGGGCCTGAAAATCACCTAGAATGAGCTATTTTGTACACAAAAAAGCCTAAACTATGGTCTTGAAATAACTCGCCAGGGCCTGAATTCAGGCTATTGCCTGAAGACTGGCATCCCTGGTACTATTCAACATTCATAACACTGAGTTTTAAAGCCTGTCTGTACTAGTTTGGCTAGGAGGGATTAGACCATCCAGCAAGGTCACTGACAGGTGGCTATCTCATCAACTCAGCTGTTAATTATCATAAGAAAAAGAGGATCATGGGGGACCAATGGTAACCAATTAGGCATTGTTTGCTATATAGAGGGCGCAAGTAGCTATAAGTACAACACTGAGTTTTAAAGAGAAAGTTGCATTTGGATTTTGATAAGTGTGAAAAACTATTGTGAGCTCTCAAGTTCTTGTTATGCCTCATGAAAGAATGTCGTTGTAGAAATTGACTAAGAAGGGAAATCCTTTCCAAGTGCTTTCATACAGTCGGTCCATTTCACATAGGACAAGAAATATTTTACAATTTTGCCCCAATTTTTGGTGTCACAAACTACATGAAGTACCCTATTTCTGTGTGAAGTGCTCTTCATAGATTGTGATTTTCAGTAAATTTGGTACAATTTTGAAGATTCCAAAACCTCACAATCCAAAACTGTTCTTAATCACTACGAAATAAACCATTCAGTATTACTTCAAGGCTGTTTCTTTCACAATGAAATTGCATAAAACATAAAATTGCAAATGAGTATTCCTTCTCACCCTCTGTAAGTAAGGCTCCACTCTCCATATTCTCAGGGTGTAGTCCCTTGCCCAGGTAACCATGTGATAATCAAAAGATGAAACTGTGGAGACGAACAAACGAATAAGTGTCTTGGAAGTACTTTTTACGATACAATCATATATCTTACTCTGCATCCTAACCCTCCCTCAACATACATCAAATATATGTTACTTACTTTCTTGTTCAGCATGATTAGAAATATGTCTAACTATTATAGCTCGGTAGGATCAAGCTCAATAGTGAATACATTTTGCACCATGCATTCACAAAATTTCATTCTTCATATTGGTTCATTGATGCTTTGGACAATTTGCAGTTCTCTCTCAAACAAGGTTTAAATGAAAAATACGTCAAAAAAATAAGAATAGTAACACATCAATTATTTATTGTAAAAATTACAACAATATACATCTTTCATCCTTGTTAAAGGTAATACAAAGTTTGGGGAAATTTCTAAAATTTGGTGGATAGTGATTCTTTACCATTTTGATATATTTGGATGCCCCTATAGATGTATTATAAGCTTTAGAAAATTTACCATCTGAAACACATTTTGCTTTCGAGAAAAATCGGGTATAAAAATTTACCGGTACTCCCAGGAAATTTTGTTGAATTTCAAATAGCGCCAAAGGCCGTACAATGGTAGCTGCGACCATGAAAATCTCAGAATATGTAATTGTGATATATAATTTCCAAACAGGAATAGCTAATTGGTTGATTTTAGTAAAGACAAATTGTTTTATAGCTTAATTAATATATTGACCTTGAGAGGGAGCTTTACAACATAAAGCGTTTATTATTTATAATTTCATAACTTTAGACTCGATATCAACCTCGACAACGATCACTGAATATTGTAGGATCGCATATGCTTCCAATATGTTCATTTGAACCAAATTCATGAACCCATACCAAAACTTTGTGTTATTAGTACCTTTAATAAAATAAAAAAAATAAAAATACATTTTGGTTATATAAGAGATTTGTTTCCACTTGGTATTGGTCGATATTGCTATCATGTCGGTATGCATCTGCTGTAGTTATCTTTATCATTATACCGGTAGGTAATGCCGGTAGTAGGATTGTATGACTCGAGATGCGAAGGTCGAGGGTCCGAATACCGACACAGCACTAATATCCTTTGGCAAGATATTAACCTACACTTGTTACTCTCCACCCAGGGGTTAAAATGGGTACCCGGTAGGATGCGACCATCATTGTTGGTCAAATGGTTTTTGAGCGTCAAGTCACGCCTGGCTGGAATGCTCCCCAGGGAGTGGAGATTGTGCACACAGTGTGTACAGGCAAGCACTGAATCCAATGACCAGGGTAATAGTATATCTGTAAAGCGCTTAGAGCCGTCTGAGATGTATTAAGCGCTATATAAAAGCTGAATATTATTATTATTATTACCATCTTTAGGTCTCCATTGGAACTCCAGGATATCATCACTGTGACCGGTAAAGGAATGGATCGGAGCTGCAGGGTTAGATTGACTCCACATCAACAGGTTCTTTTCCCTCTGCCGTAGCTGTGGCATGGTGATGGTTACTAGACCATCACCGAATGGCTATAAAGATGGATAATGCAGAAAGTTATAAATCGAACCGTTGGGGCACTTTGGAGGGATAATTCCTATGGATGCAATACTTGTTAAACACTCATATGCATAATATTGACTCCTTAAAACTACATATTTGTGGATGCATAATGTATCTCTTATAGTTGATTAAGTATAGGCCTACACAAACTAAATAGGAAGGAGCCAGCAAACACTCCCAAGGTGTGAAGACACAAAAAATATAGAATACATAACTTGCAATGGGTCCACATGTATAAAGGCATGGTGCAAGATGTCTTTGGTAGCCAAAGTAGGGAACCTACCACTTTGTTTATCAAGTCTAGATATGCCACTGGTTGACAGACATACATATACAGCGAACAACTACATTATTTATATCCTTGCCAAGTTTTGTATTTGTTTAAGTATGTGAAAAATTGATTTGTCCCAATATTTGCTTCTTGAGAATGTGACATATTAAACCTTAAATCTAAAAGTATTCAACAAAGGCCCTGATTCAATCAGTCCACCTTTCATTCTTGAGTTATGATAAGCATCATTATTCAGAAACATCAAATTTACAAAGGGTATGAATAATTCAGTTGTTACTGTATATATTTCATAGAGAAGCTTGTAGAACACTCCCCACTCACCGTATATCTGACTTTCCACTGGGGAGCATCTGTTCTGATCTCAAGTACTGCTTTCTGCTCATTGTTTGTATCCCAAACCTAAAAGTTAAGGCAAAACAAATATTTAATACGATATTTAATTGAATCCAATTACGATGAAGAGATACTCATAAGATCAACACAAATGCAATAAATGTACAAAATTGATATCTAATTTCTTAGATAATAAATCTGAAAGGCCAAAGAACAGTAGAACCTGAAATTGTATCAGATCCAAGGCATCACGATGGAGAAAAACAACATAATGCTAAATAAATTGGCAATTGAATTATCAAATCAAATTAAAGTGTACTCCTAAAAATGCAACTAAACGTAGACCGTAGCCCATTTTTCAATAAATATTGATATTTGAGGATATTCAAAACAAACAGCGAAGACTGATTTTATTCAAATTGTAGTAGGGACCCTAAGAAGCCAATTTCAACAAAATGTGAAATAACATTATACAGTAGGCTTACATTTGCACCATGTGAGAGAGGGGGAGGATTGAGGAGTCCTGAAAAGGACTGTCGGTAATCTTTCTTTCTTGAGTGTGTGTGTAGTCCCGAAAAGGACTGTTGGTAATCTTTCTTTGAGCTTACAGTTCTAAAGAGAACTATAGCGCCCCCGTGTCTGCAACCCAGTGACTTAAGCCCATGCACGCCAGCTATTTCCCACTCCTGACGATGAATAGTCAACCTGTTTGAAACGTCAAGCCCCTCCTACTACCCATCCTCTCCAACCGGCACTATAGTTCTCTTTATAACTATAAGCTCGAAGAAAGGTTAACGACAGTCCTTTTCAGGAATCTTCAATCCTCCCCCTCTCTCACATGTTGCTAAAGTAAGCCTACTGTATATCTACATCACCATACAAGCCCATTCTTATAAGCAGCATCTAACATTGTAATTGTTTGAATAAAATAGTTTGAAGTTATTTCTCACCTTTGCTGAGCAATCTTGGCTCGCTGTGATAAGATGTGATTGGTTGTTAGGGTCCCAGTCTAATGAGTAGATCTTGGATACGTGAGCTGAGATGTACTTCACTGCCTGGTTCCCTTTCTGTGATATCAAGGAAGAACAAAAAACATGAGAAAGGATAACTTTAGAAGATTCATTGAAAGGGCCCCCCTCTGATAAGAAGATACCTGAGTCGAAATGTACTGCACTGCTCATGCCAAAGTTCATGTTTTATTTTCAAAGTTATTATCTATAATGTGGAAATTTAATAGTATTGATGAATTTTACTCCTGTGTATTTTGGAAAGGTGAAAAAACTGTGTTGCTCTCCATATGTAAATATGAGCAAACAAAACAAGACACACACATTTGAAGAAAAAAGTATGACAGAAAAACAATGTTTTAGATACATTCGACTAATATGTTTACAAGGAGAGTGGGAGATAGAAAGAGAGACAAACAGGCAGAGAGAGAGAGAGAGAGAGAATGCATTCAAGACAGTTGTAAAACTATGACTTATATCTGGAGCTCACAGTGCTTTCACCATTCCAAACTACAAAGGAGTAAAATTCAACAATACTATTAAATTTCCACATTTTAGATAATAATTTTGAAGAAGAAAAAAAACTTTGGCATGAGCAAGTCTTGAGGCAAACCCCATCTTAGCACCAGACAACAAATAGTTCTAAAATTCTTGTCCAAAAAATTTATTTTCTAATGGCTTTACCCTCTTATCCCATAGCCTGATGTCACCATCGTGGACGGTTGCTAGGCAATGCTCATCTTTCTTGTTCCATTTCACTTGTCCTGCTCCAGCTGGATAAGATAGATGAAATAATTTATGTTTTTACTAAGTATTGTTTGTTACTGCTTCTTTAATCTGTTTGAAAATTTCTTGTATGTAAGTCACTCAGTATGTAGGTAAATACATGTTTATGAAGTGCTAGAAGTAAATTGTCTTTCTTAAAGTTTTTCTTTCTCCTGGTAATTATTCAACTGTGTTTTGCCAAATACATTTGTCTGCAATATACAAATGCTTCAAATATAAAATTAGTGTTCACAGTACATATTGAAGATTAACCTATAGTTACTATATTATTGGCTAATTGAAATACATAACGAAGGATTAAAGTTTTAAATTAAAGAAAACTTGAAAAATAGAGAGAAATCATTAACTTAACAACTGAATGAAACATTTTCCCAGACTCACCAAAAGTAGAAAACGCTGAAGCAGGTTTTTTGCTTTCCCTGAGGGTAATAAAAGAATATATTCAAATATAAACATGAAACTTGAATGGAAGTAGTCAACAGACTACATCAAATGTATTCAAAGATAATGGGGAAAAGAGATTACACATTCATTGAACACAAAAAAGGATGGCATGACAAGAAGATAATCAAAACTTCTTATACTGACAAATCAGAATATTTGGCCTGACTAGAAAGAGTTTATATCAACTGGACGACTAGATAAGTGATTTTAACATTTATATTTGTACAACTTTTAGTTTCATTTGAACTTAAAGGGGACAAAAAGTAAACAAACTTGAAGCATATTGATTGGCTTCTTACCTTGTATCCCATATGTAGATATAGGTATCAACAGAGCTTGTTGCTAGGAGATTTGGATTAAACACAGACCAGTTCAAGTCACTAGATGACACAAAGGAAAGACGTAGAGAAGAAAAAAAGGAAAAAATGATGGTAGAAAATTTCAGGTATTTGAAATATATTCAAAAATGTAACAAAACAAAAATATATTGTTAAATACTACCCATTCATCAATCATCAATCATTAGTAAATTAATAAATCAGTTGGTCCATCAATTAATCAATCAATCAATCAATTAATTTCTATCAATCAATCCATAAACCAATGCATCAACCAATCAATTCTTCAATCAATCAATCTCAACCAATCAGTTGGTCAATCACTCAGTCAATCAATTCGTGTCTGTCAATCCATTTGACAACTAATACATATGTCAATCAATGAACCCTTCAATCAAGTAAGCAATTAATCAATTAATCAATAATAATCAATCAATCATAATCAATCTATCAATACCCATCAATCAATACATCAACCTATATGCATGTCATTCAACCAATCAATGCTTCAATCAGTCAATCAATTAATCTATTGACCAATCAGTCAGGCCATCAATCAACCAATCAATTAATCTATTGACCAATCAGTCAGGCCATCAATCAATCATAATCAATCTATCAATACCCATCAATCAATACATCAACCTATATGCATGTCATTCAACCAATCAACGATTCAATCATCCAATCAATTAATCTATTGACCAATCAGTCAGGCCATTAATCAATCATAATCAATGTATCAATACCCATCAATCAATCCATCAGCCTATATGTATGTCATTCAACCAATCAATGCTTCAATCAACCAATCAATTAATCTATTGACCAATCAGTCAGGCCATCAATCAATCATAATCAATGTATCAATACCCATCAATCAATACATCAACCTATATGCATGTCATTCAACCAATCAACGATTCAATCAACCAATCAATTAATCTATTGACCAATCAGTCAGGCCATCAATCAATCATAATCAATGTATCAATACCCATCAATCAATACATCAACCTATATGCATGTCATTCAACCAATCAATGCTTCAATCAACCAATCAATTAATCTATTGACCAATCAGTCAGAACATCAATCTACTAATCAATACCATCAAAAAATAAATCAATCAAACCTTCAGTTAATCAATAAAAAATAAAAAAATTCATTCATTATTCAATCAAAGCATTGTCCATGAATCAACCAATCACTCTACAATAATCACTTTACAGTCACTTTACAAGTTACCCATTTATTCATCCATTCCAATGCCTAACCAGCCTCTAAATCATTCTTCCATCTTTCAATTAGTCCATAAGACAAACTCTCAGTGACACACTTCATTGTGATAATATTCATAAATGTATTCATAGCGAATCTTCTACACAGCGATTTTGATTAGTTTTAAAACATTAATTATAGATTAATTATAGATTAACATTCTACATTGGCAAGTCAAATTACAAGTACATTTAGTTCACAAAAGTACATCATATTTGATTAATGTACCTAAAAAAAGGTAAAAATAGACTCATACTTTGAAATATTTGATGCACCAAAAAACATTTTTCAAATGAACTTACATAGGAGGGGCATGTAAATGAATTAAGAGTAAGACAAATATGATATTAATAATACGTACTGAGTAATAAAAATAATTCTGATTTCATAGAGACATATTTCAAAATGAAAATGTATTATGTTTCAATATTAGTGGTTACATGTCTAAGCAATCATGATGAACAAACATGGTTCCATCGATAAAAAGAGAAAGAAATCAAAAGCGAGTAAGCGAGCTATACTGCATATAAAATTCTTCCTATTCATGTTTCATTATATTGATTATTTTTCAGACCGACATTTTTAGCATAACATGAAGAAATCTAAAAATGTATGCAATACGAAGCTACATTTGAACATTCTAGTCTGAGAAGAAAAAAACTATGGAAAATACAAAAGAGGTTCTCTTTGATTGTCTAAATGGTTCATACATACAATATGGCTCGAATTCGCAAAGGAGGTTTGTCGACAAACCTCCTTTTGTTTCGTCAAACCTCCTTTTGTTTTTTTACAAAACAAGGTTTGTCAAAATGCGTCAAAACGCGTCGTATGACGCACATAAACCTCGGTTAGTCGACAAACCTCCTTTGTGAATTCGGGCCTATATGTCTGTTTGGAGCGAACAAAGTATCAACTTAAATGCATGATATTACAAAGAGTGAACATCCTTCAGGCTCCACACAGACACACACATATATGGACTCTTTATAGACCACCCATATACAGAATTGAAATGTTTAAATAATGGCTGTTTCAATCTTTCATACATTCACTTCCAAGCAGTTTAAGATGTAAAAGCTACAGTCTGAGCAGTTCAACATATTTTATTAATTCCTTAATTCTGTATCTCTATTCTTGTATCTATCCACTCCTTCCTTTTTACTCTTCTCCGAACTTTTTGGCAGTTTTGAGCTAAGAGGTAATAACCTGTGAAGGAGAAGTAACACTAACCACCACTCATAAAGCAAAAATACAAGTTGCTTTTACTGATAAAGCCTGAAAGTAACCAAGAAATATTAGATCCACATATATTCTGTATCATAAAAACAAGTCTGAAATATGGCATCCCTGATGAAGAGGTTCCTCTATGAACTAACACTGATTCTCCTTTTACCAGCTGACACCATCATAGAGCTGATGGTCCTCTGCCTACTGGCTATAGTAGGAGCATAAATGGTAGGTCTCTTAAATGAACGGGTATGTCTTGTTGGCAAAGATGGCAAGACAAGGCCCTCCAGATCATCACTCGGTGACTCTGGATTATCAGAGCTTTTGAAGTATGCATCAACACTTTTCTTTTCATCGTCTTGGGTCAGGCGGTAAGAAACAGAGGATTTGGGACGTGGAGAGAAGAAGGCATCGACCCGGAGTGATTGCTCGCTGGGAAGAGTCCTGCGGGGAGAGGAGGGGTGCTTGTTCCTTGCTCGACCAGATGAACTGCTGTAGGCGGAAGAGATGGAAGACATGCTGATTTGCTGGAGGGTTTCCTTTTGATGGCGAGGTGATCCATGAATGGAGGAGGTGGAGCTGACAATACTGTGAGATTTACCCCTGGACAATCTCATGTTACTTTGATTGACAGGGTCCATGTCTGCCCAGAATGGGATGTAGGCATCCTGCCGGCTAGGTGATCGCCCGCCATTCTCCAAGAGGATTTGTGGAGACAAGGATCCTATGTCTTGGATGGAGCTAGTAGATGTGGTCCATATGGAATTCCCTCCTGGTGATAAGAAGGGCTTTGACGACTCCCAACATGGAGCAGTCCTGGGTCTTGGTTTCGTTCCACCTCCTCTTGTAGGTGACAGTTGAATCCTGGGTGAACCTGTTACTACTGCTGTACCGCACCTAACTTTGACTTCCTTCTGCTTGTTAGAGTTGGGCAAAGACAGCTTGTCATCATCTTCCTCTTCTGAGTCTGACTCAATCCTGTCAAGAATCTCCTCAAAGATCTCATCTGCACTCCTCTTGTCAACCTCCCGCTTGCCTTCCCCAAGCATCGACACCCTCCCTAAACCCTGAGGAGATTTGGGGCGACGCTCCAGGAAATATCTCAGTAGAGCCATTCTCTTGCTGTACCGTCTACGGCTCTCCACTCTTTCTCCATACATGAAGCATGGTGCCGTCACCTCCTCGGAGATAAACTCCTGCCCTCCCAGGCTCCCGCTTGACAAGGAAATATGATCCAGGACCTCACTGACCCGGTGGATCTTCTGGTTCATAATGTGCTCTGCATTTTGTTTCTGGTGCATGTAGTAGCGTGTCTTGAGGTTAAGACGCCTCCCCTCTGTCAGGTTCAGTCTCTCAGCGACCTGATCCTTGGGTGTGTTGTACTTGCGAGGTTCTTGGGACATGCCATTATGCCCACGTTGCATTCTGATTGAGGTATACTGCATATAAGTGCAAGAACCGGCCTCGGTTCACTTAGAATAATCCATTTTTAGTAGACGGTTCCGCAGATTCTACTGAAATAATCAATTTCTTGCACTATTAGTCTTTTGATAAATTGTGTTATTCTGCAGATAATACACTTCCAACGACCATGAAGCAGCACAATGCAAGAATCACTGTCACAAAATGACTTATAAATTATCCCTCTCACAGTGTAAAAATAACTTGCAATAACAACACATCCTTGCCAGAAGAACAGCACTATTGTGTAGTCTCCATTTTCCTTGAGTGAAAAAACAATGCCTCTCCAGAATCGTCCTCCGAACACAAATTGACCACATATCAGATGAACCACCCCCTTGGACTTAAGTAAACTGTTTTGGTTTACGCTATCAGAACCCTTATCAAGTTTAAACACTGAGCGACACTTAATATCTGACTCTAATGACCATTAGCGCAGAGTTACAGATTTACATTGGAGAAGTATGACTCCTTCAATGGTCTTGTCCAGTTATATGACAAGTCAAGAGGTCAAAGATTACTTATCGTTTCTGATACTCCGACAAAGGTTGGTATCAGTATGACATGTCTTCAGTTATTCAAGTCCATTTTCCAAGTGGATAACAAATATTATCTACACCATGGGAACTGATGCAGATGCGGTTATCAATTAAAAGTCTGTTTTAAGAAGACTATATCATGCCCGATGGGGTGGAGGAGATTTTTATCACTCTCGAGTGAGAAATTTATGGCAGCCTCTCTATGCTCCATTGCCCTGGAGTTGGAAAAGTCAACCAATATTCTCTCTTAGCAACCAAATGCTATGTGACGTTGCTATGCAATTTTTGTGTAGAGTGGTAGCATGTGGGAAGATACAACCCTTTTCCTATTAAAAACGATACATTGTCATTTAAAACAAATCCCCTGTACTACACTGTACATGCAGGAAATTATTAGTGTGATGCCTGATATGAAACTGTCGATATGAGCATATATTAAAAGAAGCTTTCCATAAAATGCAGACAATGGAATTTAACTTCAAGATCTGTCTCATTTATATGCTCGAGAGTGATAGGTTTTCTTGATGCTCCATG